CGCGCTACCGCTTGAGCCACATCCCCAGTCCCGTCTCTCTCTCTCTTTAAAAAAAAAAAAGTGTTTTCCTTTGGCATATTACTAGGCATAATGGCCTCTATGAGTGTCTTCATGAAAATGCTTTTATAAATACAAAGATTTTCTTCCTTCCTTCCTTCTTTTCTTTAACTTAAAGAGCCAATTAGTTCTAGTGTACAACAATACTTTTAGAAAACTGGAACCTGATAGGCATATCCTTTGAGATATCTATTATCATTTTAAACAGAAGCCATTTTCAATAGAAAAATAAATAAATTTGGGCTTATAAAAAGACAAATTCCATAAAGGAAATGTTGACGTTATGGAATGTATGAAATATATCTGGGTTGTATGAAGATACACAAGTAGCAAAAGCCAAAAAGTAAGTACATGAACTTGATGAAAGGAGAAATATAGAATAAAGAAATATTTTTATAGTGAGATTTTCTAGACTAAAATTATCTATTTAACAGCAATTAAACCAAGTTTTATGCATCTGAGGAACATAAATGAGAGACATAAGCAACCAAAGAAAGGTACTTTTCAGGATCTATAGAAAGAAATCTATTCACACCAGAAAAAATAAAACAATACTCAAATAAATGCCAACTACTTCTCAGTTATAATTCCAACAACCTATGAGCCTTTAGAATTTAAAAATGCCACCCACAGGATCAACTATCTTTAGATTAAAATTTAGTACTTAAAATGTAATGAGGAGCATTTATTTCAGACTTGATAGTTTATATCATATCATGTTTCTTGCTGGAGTGAGGGGAAAGATAAAAGCTCAAAAAACAAAACAAATCAAAACATAGCACAAAAAGCCTACTCTTTAAAGGTACCTCATGAAGCACAACCAAGTCAGCCAGAACCCATGGGCCCAAGGTTCTAGAGACACAGGAAGTATGGAGGTGCTTTCTTCTCTCTTCAGTGCGCTTTCAGATTCAGTTTATGGGAAAATGAGGCCAAATTGCAGCCTAGGGCTTGAGGAAATCTTACTGGAATAAGAAGACAAAAGTTGGAGCTTTGGACTATCAAGGACTTGAGGGGTCAGAAGCCTGGGCGGGGCAGGGAGGAGGAAGAAGAAGAATAGAAAAATGAACCAAAATATCTGCCAATTCCTAAGATGAACATTTCCTGAGTGAGACAGCTGGAGACCAGGGGCTGAGGGGCTAAAGGACTGAGTTTCTTCAGCAGTCCCAAGGGGTGCTGAGGAGAGAGATTAGAATTCAGGACTCTTCAAAGTGAGAAAAGATACCATTCCTTCAGTAAAGACCCCAAAATATGATGAACTAGAAGACAGACCAGAAATAAAAAAAGAAATAAAGCAAGGTCATTTCATGCTCCATCTGCTGGTGAGAAGAATATTAAATCTGTGAAAAAACACATCTTCAAGAGCGTCTATAATTTTTAATTACAAAATCCAA